AACAACAAGAAAACTTAGACAGAAGAGCAGAAATGGCTTAGAGAATCCTTATGCAGGGAAAAGACTGGAAAATCCAAGATAGAGTAACTTTTTTGTGGTTTAAATGCTTTGCTTTAGAGACTAGACTCCAGGAAGTCCTAACAGGAATGACCATTGAATGAGCAGTAACAAACAGTTAAGAAGCCAGAGGTAGATGATTGAAATTAACAATGGCCAAAAGATCATTTTAGAAGATTCCCCAGAAAAGACATTAATAATCACGTTTCCTAGCTATGTGTAAGCTGATAACATTGATCAAGTTGGATCCATAGTCACCGATCACTGGGAAATTCTACACAAGAATAAAAGGACTGCAAATTAAACTACCAAGGTACAGAAGATGAACTGCCTATTGACAAGACGCTAATGAAAATTTTCATACTAAAAAAACAAATTCCCAAGGGACCATAGAGAGATTAAGTGATGGTATTTGATCCACACCCACATATCTGCAGATGGAAAAACTGGAGGAAAAAAAGCAAGTGGAGGAAGGTCTCTACGGGACCCCTGGGATATATTGTGGAAAGTATCATTATCATTACATAGAGGATAATCCTAAACTCTGTGGCATGCCAGACAAGATAATCTATCTGCGACAAAGGACATTAATATCTTTTCAAGTGATGTTCATGTGCAGCTTGGGCTGAACCCTTTCCAGAAGCAAAGGCTGAACTGGGAGTGGGGATGCAAAACAAGTGACAAAGTTGTTGACACGTCTCGTGAAGAGACCTACAAAGCTTGTCAATTAAACTGTCATCAAAGATGTTAGCGTGTAAAAGTAGGTGCCATCACCTTCACACACTCGACAGTGACCACTTCTGGTCAGTTAGTACCCATGTAGTTCTAGCCGTGTCTTGCCACATCTTGGCACATTGGGACGAGATCCGACCCTGGGAGAATAGAGACCTTTGGACAGGATGACCGCCACTGCAGAGTTCAAACTATATAAGATAACTGCATGTCTTTAGATGGAAAGAAAGATGGAGGTTGAATAGTAGTGGAGATACTGTGCTTACAGAGTGTGTATTTAGCTAAAATATCGGTGTTTATAATGACTAGAAGGAAAATTGTGGGAAACATTTAAGAATCACAAGGAGAACACTGAGACTGCACTCAGAGAAGGCAAAACTATTCTTTAGAGAAATGGGTGAAAAATCTCAAAAATGGAAGAAGTGAAGAGGAATTTATTACCACTACACAAGTTTATAATCTCCATGCAGACTAAAAAGCAGTCCAAGTCTTGAAAACTGGAAAAATCAGTGACAAAATACTTCTCCATAAATTATAACATATTTTGGCAGTACGGATGGGATTTGAGTTTTTTTGTTTGTTTGTTTGTTTTTCTAATTTGAGTTGGCTACATTTGTAGTAGTAAAGCAAGCAGTGCTAGACCTTGTTCTTCAATACAGTGGTCAACTGAAGCAGCCTGGTTGTTCAAACACAGACTGGTCACAACCAGACCACCTACAGTGAAGAGTCCCAGGCTCTAACTCTAAACTCTTGGGAGACTGTTACTCTGGGCCAAGACCAAACAAATGAATATGTTAAGAATTTAGCAGAATGGAGAAGAAAGGGATGAGATCCCACTTTAAGACCTCTTAATTTAGTGGTATAGGTATAGCTGTGGTACACAGCAAACTTCACCTTGCAAATAAATTGATGTCAGCTAGAAAAAAAAAACTAAGTGATTCTGAAGGCCTCTAGACATGTATCTTTGACCAGTTCCAAGTTCAATGGACTGTCACCTTAGTCTCGACAGCTGTATGGGAGCTTAGACACCTCGCTTATAGAAACATATATACATTGACATTCTAAATGTTGGATGGGGCTCTGAGCAACCTGATCTAGTGCAAGATGTCCCTGCTCCTTGCTGGAACATTGGACTAGATGACCTTTAAAGATCCCTTCCAACCCAAACTGGTTTGTGATTCTATGGTTCAGGTAGCTGAATCTGAATCCAACTCCTGATATGCACAGTCATTTACACAGTTACTGGGAAAGTACCGGTCTGAAGTGCCTGTCTCTTTCTATTGACTGCTGAAATACCCTAGGGCATGGGATTCATCTTGCCTGTGAGGCAGTCACCTAGAATTGAGCCATTAGGAGAAACACAGACTCTAGACATCCTTAGAAAAGATGAATCCCATAGCAGGGTGGCCAGCTTGCTTGCTCATCTTGCACTTAGACAACTGACTCTTAGGCTGTAAAGTTTGGGGAGATGAATTATCTGTTTTGCTGATCCTAGGCCATGCTTGGGTTGTCCACAGCGAAGTTCCTTTTCTTGCTCCTGGGTCCCCTTTCATAAACGTTTATTTTCTGCAGGACCTTCAGTTTCTCAGTGAGACTGAAGTTTCACTTGTCTGGCATATGTGGAGTGGCACTGTCCTTTCCCTGGCGTTTCATCTCATCTCTGACTGCAGTCAGGCTGACTTTTAGCCTCTGGATCAGTAAGATTAGAAAAGCTGTAGCAGTAGGATGTTCAGGAAGGACATTTTCCTTGTATCCTCCACATGAGAACAGGAAGCTTTTTCCAGAGTGTTGGGCATAGCAGAAAGCACTGTGATATGATGTGTTTCCTCCACCCAGAAAGCTGTCTTAAAGCACCATTATCCCCTCTCTCCCCTTTATGGCTACCCACTTCTGTCCCTGTGCCAGGTCACAATGATCTGGGTTAAAACTATTCCTCCATTTTGTTCCCTCTGCTGGACAGTGGGTGTTTGAACCCAAGTCATTTCAGTCATCTGGTTCAGAAAGTGACACTACAAATGGTTGTAACATTATGACTGAGAAGGTGGCACACAGCACTGCAAAGGTGGAAAATGTGGCAAGGAGCAGGGTAACTGCTCCACTTGGCTGCGTGGACAGTGAGAATTTGGGCCAACATATGAGACCGCTTCAGAAGAAATGAAGGTACAGGTAGGTCTATGTTACAAAGCGATAGAGGAGAAATCGGAGAATCTTAGGATTGCCAGAAAACTCTGGGAACAGAAGAAAAAAGGAGTTGTCATGGTCTGAATTTATTGTAAGAGTCCAACCTAATTGGCACATTCACGAAATTGTCAACACAAATGCATCTCCTGATCCCACTCATTCCCTACTTACTTATGCATTTATTAGTTATGTTACCATAAACCCAAGGATCCATCATGAACAGGAAGGACCTTGTTCTGTTAGGAACTATGCAAACACAAGATGCTACCTAAGGGCTGTCTTATTTTGTTCAATTCCTGGTTATTAGTTACAGAAAAGTTAAGCCACCTTCGGGACACGGCTCCTGGGAAAGGGTGGGAAACTCCATTACTAGAAGTCTATTTAGGGTTTTTATACCCAGCTGCAAAGCATTGAGCTTCTGGACTTCTATCAGAAATTGCCTCCCATTGACCCAAAACAAAATCTGATGTATGAAGTTCTTGAATGGCTGAACAAGATTCTTCTACACTACCCCTTCACGTAGTTAATGGGGAAGTAAGTAACATGACAGTAACTAGATGATGAAGGTAATGTGGGGAAACTATTGGGCCCATGAGCTAAAGGATTAGCATTACAGAGTTAGAATAACTGACCAGCACCAGGTATCAGAGATACTTGCCTTCTTCCCATCAGCAGTGTAGAGCTTCTTCACAGGGAACTGCAGGATCTCTGAAATCTCATCCAGGAGTGTTTTGAAACTCCTGGCATTTCTACGGTTCAAGATAATTGAGCGCCGAAACCCACTTTCTCCATTCTTAACTAGAGTGATTTTCTTGGGTATTCTGGGGCCATGATGAGTGAAAGGTGTGGAATAATCTTCAAGCTTGCCCTCCTGAGCTGCTCTTCTCAAGCTACTGGAGGGACGACTATTTCGTGGAGGGCCTGGCCTGTGTCCCCCAGAAGTAATGGTAATAGGCTTGACATATTTTTTGTCAGAGCAAAGGTAGCATCCTCCATCCTCCAGCTGGTCTAGCTCACTGATGCAATGTATTCCTCGTGGGGTGGTGATGGTCCGTACCCCAAATGGCAGTGGGACTCGATGAGAGAGGTCATCCATGAGTGCATTGAAACTCTTGAAGCTTCGCTGGTTGATGGCCATCTTGACTCCTGCAAACTGAGGATCTCCACTCTTGAAGAAGGTTATTTTTTTGGCTGGAGATACCTTGGTGACTGTGCTTGTCTGAGCCACAGAGGGAAGGGGCTGCTCATACTTGTAGGAGCTGGTGGTTGACAGATAGTTAGCAGGTACCTGAGTCATCCCTCTTGCTTAAAGGTAACTAGAAAAGAAGCAAAAATAACAGTAGGGTTTGTCTGAGTCGTGCAGAATCAGTGCCTGACTAGCAAAGGAGCAAAGTATGTTTTCCTCACAACAGTTTTACCATCTCTGCTTGATCAAGAGCAGATTGTGCCACACAGAGTTATGAACTCACTGTCTCAGGCAGATACGAGGAAACAGCAGGAAGAGTAGCCATAAACCCACTCCACACAGTTCAGCTGTCCTTGTCCTGCAGATGCCAAGGAAACACAGCAGGAAGAGCTGCCACAACCCTACTCCACACAGTTAAACCATCCCTGTCCTGCAGATGCCAATGAGAATTTAGTCAGTGTCAGACATCCCTGAGGCACAAAAAGCATGAGTCAGACCCCAAGCAAAACCCACAAAAACTGGTATTTGTGTATCGTTGTCCCTTTGAGTTTTGTGTCTTCCTTGCTTATTTTTTTGAGGTTTTCTCTGAAACTATCAAAGCCAGAGATTACTTCGTTTTTATTTTTACAAGCAGAATGCTCAGTCTCATGTAACCCTTCAACACTGTGAACTGGCGCATTACAAAAGCCCGAACAAACCTGAATTTGTTCACGCGGCAATTGCATACTGTAGCACGCAACCACTCCTGAGCATACCGAGGGGCAGAGTAGTCTGGTTTTGGAACAGCTGCACATGGCCGTGGCATAGTACGCTAAGGCAAGATCTGGATGCAAACCCCTGGCAATTATGCAAATAAATATGGTAAGAAATATTGCAAGACCTCAGACAGAACTACAAAAGTTAGTTCTGCTAAACTGTGGGAAAATTTGAAATCAGCCTGGTAAGCACAGAGGTGAGGAGAACGATCTGCCCAGTTTCTGTCAGAGTGGCTTCACTTTTAGATCTAATCTGATTTCGGTGTTTTAGTCTGGAGGTTGAATCCCACTTCTTGGAACCCGACTGATTTTAATGCCTTTTCCATGATGGAGACTAGTGGAAAAGTGACTGGACTCTACCCTTTCTTGCCTACCCTTATCAAATGTGTTGTCTTGGAAGTCAATCTCTGAAAAATTCAGACCCCACATGGAATGAAACTACTATGCCAAAGAAGAAGATGCTTTGGTTTGGGCATGGAAAAACCCAATTAACATTATTCCCAACTGCTAAAATATTGGCTGTAATGAGTATGACAAACGACTATTTCATGGATATGAACAGTGATTTCACAGTTCACTTTAATTACTTAAATGGCACTTAGAGACGTCATTTTCTGACCAGAAGTTACTGCTCACATATAGGCAGCAAACCATTTGAATTATTACTAAGAAATACAGTAGCTTTTCTTGTAGCTTGTAGAAGGTGGCTCTGGCTACAAGCACCTACATCCAACTTACTTTCCAAATTAAGTTCTTAGCTGATCGCAGTTTTCTACGGCAACTTCAGAAAAACCTCTCACAAGAAAGAAATTATTTTAGCATTCACAAATGAGTTATAAAATGACAAAAACATTTCTAATTACATGCTTCCTTCAGGTTGCTCCTGGTTATACTTGTATCGGCTAAATGAAGTTCTAGTTTCAAGAAAATAGTTATGCTACTCACACATTACTCTTTGGAGAACCAGTTTGGTGACCACTGTGATTAATGGGAATTTTGTCATTGATTGCAGTGGTGCAGCATTCAAACAGCTGTAAATTGATTTTCTCCACATTTTAAAACAAACCTATTATTTTCTTATGATGGTACTCTCAAGTGAATTATTTGTACACTTTGTGTTACGGCAAGCACTAAATGGAAGTTTAACTTCAGCCAGGTGAGAAAAGACATTAGGCACCATTTGAAAGATTATTATTTTGAGAAATTTCTGCTTTTTTTTGTATCCTTGCACACTGACAAAGATTTCAGTATGATTTATTCTTTCCATGTACATATTCCACCAAATATTTATTCACTTATTTATTTCTCAGTTAAAAGTAAATCCACCGCTCTATCTTCCAGAGAAAAAAATACCTCATTTCTCTATTTTTCAACAGCTATCAGAAAGGTGGCTCTAACTTTTTTTCCATGAGTCCCACATTAGAGCTTTCAGACACAGGCAGCAAAATTTCCAAACAAAACCATTATCCAAATTGTAGTCCCTGGACTAATAATGGTCCGCAATATGCTGGCTGCACTCACAGAAATCTAACTACTTCCCAAGGATTTATTCTACTCTTTTCCAAGCTGTTAAATCATATTGAAAGAAGCATAAAAATATCAAAATATGGGACAAATCATCATATACTTTCCGAATGTTAATTTTCTTCAGGAACAATTTCACAAGACCATTAAGGAAGGGATCACCAAAGTAAAGAAACATTGTCCCTTAAGTTTTGCGTGATAGAGTTGGTTACCCACCCAAGCCTAGATGGTTTGTCAGACCTGCTCTTATGAAGCAGTCTATAATGTGAAGAAAGAGCCTTCCACAAAAACCTCGCATGAAATACAAACAGCTTCCATAGAGACAAGTTCTGTACTGTCCATTTGAAGTTTCAGAATGAGAAGACGATTCTATTGTATATCCAGCAAGGCAACAAAAATGGTCATCTTGCCCAAATACATATTTTTATAGATACATAACAGAGGAGTCCCAACATATATTTTTGTACTTACACTGAAATACTTCATGCCTCTTGCTCAAGATGACTTTTTCTTATAGAATATCCAAGACATCAAAAAAACTCCAACCAAATAATTGAAAAAACCCCCAACACAGCCAATCTACCACCTCCACAATCTAATGCACTGGACAACGCAGGGAAAAGCGTTAGCAGGTTACATGCTGTCAATCAAACTGTCCTCAAAATGACTGACCACAGCTTGGAGGGTTAATCAGGACTGTGTTGCTAAGGATAGAAAGAAAAGCTACTTAAGCTGCTGGAGAAGGCTCTCAAATCCACTGGGGCTTTAGGTACAGTTTGCCCAATCCTTCTCCTTCTTGTGCCCATGTAACTCAGGTATAAATCTGACTCAGTGACACTCCTCTCAAATCATACCAGAAGAAGTGAGAATGCAGTCAAGGCCAAAGAGGTAATATCTTCCTCTTGCATAAAGGCCTGCAGAGATCTGCATAGCTTTGCTGAGCCACCCGACTCATCAGCCCCCCACTCATCAACCTTCCTTTGGAATCAGTTTTATCTTTTGGGCAACTCCAGGGTAGAGAGTAAAGCTGATGGTAGCTCTTACAGATTTGTGTATATCTTTGTTACTTCTCAGCTGGTTGATAGTCACTTACCCAGGACATAGACAGATGAGATTTATAACAATTTTTCAGTGAAGTATTATCTCAACAGGAAAGTCTGGTGAGTCCTAACCCAAACATTCCGAAGTTCAGGGAAGATGTCAAAGTCAGATTCCCAGATGAATGCTCAACAGCTGTATTGCTGAGATTTCGGCATGAAATAAGGACAGACAAGCAACCTGTCAATGATAAATGATGGGAAATGGCTTATTCTTTCCTAATTCACCTATGAGAGCCTTCCTGCTTTCTCTCACACTTCCTCTTTGCAGTGAAAAAACACACACAACAATAAAAATCAGATAGTTGGATTCAAGTACAAAATCAGTGGAAAACCCCACTTTTTTATGGACTGGATTTTTTGTCTTCTAGCAGTATTTATTCATTACTTACATAGCCATTACACCTGTGCACCAATGTCACTTACAGCACCGAGAACCTTCTTTAGTAGAAAGCAATTACTTGCAGAGAGATCAGAGTCATAAAGGGCTTTTATTGGAATGGTAGGGATTTGGGGAGTCTACAAGTTAAGGCTCATTAAATTTTACATCTCAGACCCTTAACATGGATATTCCAAATGTTACTTTTTGAGCCATTATGCAGTCCTTCTAATACAACATTGCTTTTTCACCTGTGGACAGCACACATTTCAGGGTCCCGAGACCATTCCTGAAGTGCAAGGTTATCTCTCTGTAGGCTTGCATCTACTACAAGAAGTTAGCACCTATACTGGAATATTTGTGGGAGTCCGTCCACGGGAAAGACTGAACCCCTTGTGGAGGCCATTCTACTCAGTCAGGACTGTGTCAGGCAGCCTGGCCCGTGTCTTTGAATTTCTCTTTGCAGTTCAAAATGACACCTCAAAAAGACTAAACCATAGCAGGCAGGCAAGTCATGAACTTCTAAAGCTTATCAAAACTCTGCCATCAAATTTCACACAGAGGAAGCCGTGTGACCACATGGTTGGGTATCCATTACGTGAACCCTTAGCCAAAATCCCCTGAGACCCCCAATACATCTGCAGCACATCTGTTCACACCAGCTTACACCTTCTGTTCCCTCACAGTAGGCTTTTTATTTCCAAGGGTTTTTTGCAGCCTCCTCTCTGTTGCCTCTGTTCTTCTCCTTCTATGTAGTTGAAGGAGAAGAAGGAGAAGAAGCCAGGTACCTCTCAAGAAATTGCCTGAGCTGAGGTAGGGGAGCTGTCAGAGAACTCAACTCAAGGGATAGAGCATCAAGTCTATAACATCTGTCTGAGAGATGGGAAGGCCTTTATGAGAAGCATCCAGACGACTTGATTTAAATAGTTTAAATAATCAGGAGTCTACCCTGTCCAGAGGCAACAGTTCCAATAGTTAATGCCACTTATTGCTAAATATCTGTGCCTTTTCTCTAGCCTGAATATGCCTAGTGTCAATTTTTGTATGGCTTTTGTTGATAAATTAGTGTGCAGACTTTTAATGGAAGAACTCATTTCTCCAAGACAGAAGAAAAATTTACAGATCATCATTAACATTTGGGATGGAGCCAGTTGAAAAATCCAGGTGTGTGTCCTAGAGAAATCATGAACAAGATTATTTCATTTGAAAATTTTCCCAGAAAAGCTGGGAGTATCTGGCACGAAAGATGAATCATCGTTTTGCGAGATCTAACCATGTTTCTCTAAAAAGGCTCATTTCAATTTGCTCTGTGCCCTTTTTGGGAAAGAAAAATATTTTTTAAATGTCAAAGTGATC